GCAGCCCAGAAGCATGTAGCCAGGCCCCAGGAAGAGTGGCAGCAGGCACAGTGGTTCACAGGTCTCCACCACTCACTCTCCCAGTGACTTTCACCTAATTACTTGTGGTGACACATTTTCCCCATTTGTAACAGTTGGGGTACCAGTTATAGACTACCAAGTATTTTGTTCCAAGGATTAAATGAATTAACAAAGGTCAACATTTAGGATAGTGCCTATACATTAAAAGTGCTAATGGGCTGGGGCTGGGGCTCAGTGGTAGAGTGCTTGCCTAGCATGTGTGAGGCCCTGGGTTGATCCTCAGCACCACTTAAAAATAAATAAATAAAATAAAGATATTGTGCCCAACTACAACTAAAAAATAAATATTTTAAAAAAGTGCTAAGAATTAGCTCTTACTATATGGAACCTTATGAAATTGTCGATATTCAAATATTCTCTCTTATAACAGCAATTGCATATGATTCAACCTAACATCATTAGCATTATTCTATTATACCAGCCCAGACAAAGGACATAATTGCAAAGGGCCCCCTCCTAGTACAAAAGAGGCTTGGCCCAGCCCTGTCGCAAGTTCTCATTTCAAGCAGCCCAGAGTCCCTGAGGACTGGTCATTCTACCCACACAGTGCCTGTGACATGCCTCAGATTCCCTTGCTAAGAGCTCTCAGGAAGGAAACCTCTTAATGTGATGCTCCTTTGTCAGGTTTGGTCCCTCCCTCAGGTAGGCAGCCGCTCGGCCAGAGGGAAAGAAGCAGATGCCTTTCCTCCTGGGGACTCTTACCACAGCTGGGACCCTGCCCTTTGCTCCTGTGTATGCTGATGCCTCCTCTCCAGTCCAGTTTGCTCATCCAGTTTGGTAGTTTCACCGAGGATGAGCCCAGCATGGTGACTCATTAGGTTGGAAACTTGGGTGTCTGGCCCACCACCTTGATACTGGGGATTGACCAGGGCCTCACACGTGCTAAACAAGCATTCTACCTACAACCATGTTACATCCCTAGCCCTTTTTGTGATTTATTTTATTTTGAAACAGGACCTGGATGGCTTCAAACTTGCCATCCTCCAGGTAGATAATATTAATAACAAAACTGCTGAGTTTTTTTTTTTTTTTTGGTGTGTGTGGTACTGGGTTCTGGGGATTAAACCCAGGGACGGGACTACCACTCAGCTACATTTTCTACTCATTTTATTTTTTATTTTTGAGACAGGGTCTCACTAAATTGCTAAGGTTGGCCTAGAACTTGTGATTCTCCTGCCTCAGCCTTCCGAATTGCTGGGATTACAAGCATGTGCCACCATGCCTGGCTAATAAGCTCACTATTTTGACAGCTAAGTGCCAAGTACATTATTCCAACTGCTTCACATGCATGAACTCAGTTAATCTTTATAAGAGCCCTAGGAGGCAGGTACTATTATCCCCATTTTACAGATAGGAAAACCAAGGCACAGAGAGTTAAGTGACTTGCTAAATGTTGCACACTCGGAAAAGTGGCAGAGCTAGAATTAGACCCCAGGTGGTCTGGCTCCAAAGACCATGTCCTATTCTGCATTGTCCCCAAGATGGCTGTTTTTCCTCTGAAACTCCCTTACACCAAGCTCTTCTTCCCAGCTCTTCGGGGTGACAAGTGGCTGGTTTCCCGAAAATGCCACAACTCCCATTTTTATTTCAGCAACCACTTCACCTGGTTTTTCCTTGTGTTGCTTATGAGAGCTTTTAGCCCTAAAACTGGCTTTCTGTGATCTCTGAATTCACTCGCGGAGCTTTCTTTGTGGTGATTTAATACCAGCAGCCCTTTAGCAGGGGGGATGCACATGTCTCCTTTCTCTGCAAAGGTCATGTCCAACCGTTCACGATCTTGCACAGTACGCTGTGCCCTCGTTCCCCACACTTCTGCCATGATTCTTTCTCCTGAAGGCTACCACCTGTCTAGCCTAATAGCCAGGCACATTTTTTCTTTCAGTATTCATAGAACTTTAGAACTGTGGGGGTGGAAGGAACTCTGCAGATTATCCAGTTCAATTGCCCATTCTATTTGGTCTAAAGAAAGAGGGGAGTGTCCCCCCCCCCCCACAGAAGGATCAACTGAAGCATTAACAAAGCAGCAGACAAAAAGCAAAAAAAGCTCAGGGCTAGTCTGTGGGTTTCTGCCGAAGGGCCTCAGACCCATCGGAAAACTGAACACGCTCTATGGTAAGGAACGTCACTATGACTAACAATCTGTTTTTGTTTTTGTTTTGGTACTGGGCATTGAACCCAGGGGTGCTCTACCATTGAACTACATCCCCAGCCCTTCTTATCATTTACATCAAGACAGGCATAGAGAGCCAAGTGACTTGCTTAATGTGCAACACCTGGAAAAGGGCCTCACTAAGTTGCTTAGGGCCTTGCTAAATTGCTGAGGCTGGTCTTGACCTTCCATCCTCCTGCCTCAGCCTCCCAAGTTGCTGGGATTACAGGCATGCACCACCAAGTCTGGTTACTAACACAGTCTTAAAGTCATAGAGCATTGTCCTCTGCTCCATGACAACATTGTGAATTGCTAAAAGCCATTCCAGGAATCACCTGCACCTCTCTAAGCTAATCTGGGGGGCACTCTGATCACATCTGACAAGGCTCTCTGAGCCTGGCTCATGATAACTAAATTAGACCTCATGCTCTCAATATCCTACTGCACCTCAACCACATTATCAAAATTGATAGTTCACCCCGGTGCACAGCCATTCCAGCCCCTTGTCCTCATTTATCCTGGGATGTCACATATGCTGCTTGTTGGCAGAAGCCAGGTTCTTAATCAGCGGTCTGCAGCCTTGGCACCTCAGCCAGCACCGACTCAGGGAAGTCAGCTCATCTGCTCTCCTTGTTCTCCAAAGCCCTCCGTGGGCAGGCTGAGCCTGTCTCCCCATCTCCCTACAGAACAGACATCTGTTCTTTCACTACCTAACACCAATTACAGGGCTGACTGCTCAGGGGTCACATGGAGATGCTGATGCTCTTGGCGACAACTACGTCGCTGGCTGGACTCAGAAACACATTCAGCTTCTCCCCACCCTTCCCCCAGTTTTAAAAGAACTATATGCCCATTAAAGACAGACAAACCCCCTCAGTTCAGAAATGAACACAGCATAGAAACAAATGTCCTCCCACCAGATCGTGACCAGGAACAACCTCCAGGCTGCACTCCCTCAGATGGCACAGCCTGGCCACCTCTCTCCTAACTCCACATTCCCTCTCCCCTGGAGTTCCACACCTAGATCAGGCCTTTCTGGAGTTTTCTTCAGAGGGATTCAACATGTCCCCGCCTAGGCCTTCAGGACACTGTCCTCTCACAGGGCATCCACTCTCGGCCTCCTTTGTCCGTCTGTCTCTCCTCCCTGACCTCTTCTCGTAGGTGTGCCAGGGCTCACACTTGCTTCCTCAGGGATCTCACCCAGTGTCCTGGCCTTAAGCAGCTTCTAGCCAAAGGCCCCTAAACTATGCGTCCAGTTGAGACCCCTCTCTTTCAGACTTGCGATTCACAATGTCCCTTGGATACCCAATGCATTTGAAATTCAACACGCTCAGTACTGAATTCCCGACTCCTTCCCCATTAACCTGCTTCCCCTTCGCCTTCTCCTCACACTGCGAACGCCCTTCTGCCACTCGCGCTCTACACGCAATTCATCGGGAAAGCCTGAGACCCCAGACCTGGGAACTTCTCACACCCTACCGTCACCACCCAGGTCCAAGCCACTCTCATATCTCCCTGGAGAACAACGGCAGCATCCTGGCTGCCTCTTCCACCCCATAGACACCTACAGGTCACAAAAAAGCAGGGTGATTCTTCCAAGGTTACCAGTCAGATCATGTCCCTCCTCTGATCAAGACCCTCCTGTGGCTTCCCTTCCACTCAAAGTGAAAGCCAGAGTCTTGGCAGTGGCTCCGAGTCCTGTGTCTGGGTCCCTGTGACTTCTCTGCCCTCACTCTTCCTGCTCTTCTCTGGGATCACTGCTCCAGGCCTCGTTGGTCACCACCGTGATTCTTCCACAGCCCAGCTGTGCTGCTGTCTTGGGGCCTTTGCTCCAGCTTTTCCCTCTCCTCCAATTCTTCCAGAAGCCCACATGGCTCGCTCTCTCACCCTCCTCTCACCTTGCTCAAATGCCATCCCTCAGTGAGCTTATCCTGACTACTTTATTTGAAATTGCAGCTTGGATGAGTGCACACCTGTAATCCCAGAGACTTAGGAGGCTGAGGCAGGAGAAACATATAAGTTCAAGGGCTGCCTCAGCAACTTAGGAGACCCTGCCTCAAAATAAAAAAATAAAAAGTGCTGGGGAAGTAGCTCAGTGGCTAAGCACCCCTGGGTTCAAACTCTACTACCAAAAAAAAAAAAAAAAAAGAGAGAATACGTATTTTTTATTCCCATCTGTTTTTGGGTACTAGGGATTGAATTCATGGGTGCTTGACCACTGAGCCACATCCCCATCCGTATTTTGTATTTTATTTAGAAATAGAGTCTCACTGAGTTGCTTAGCGCCTCACCATTGCTGAACCCAGCTTTGAACTCACGATCCTCCGGCCTCAGCCTCCTGAGCATCTGGGATTATAGGCATGTGCCATTGTGCCCAGCCTCTTCTAACATTTTTAAAAATTTACTATTTACTATGCTTTTATTGTGTGTCTCCCATCAACTAATATTTAGGCTCCATGAGAACAGAGGCCTCTGTTTCATTTCCCAGTATATCCTACACTGCCGAAGGTGTCTAGCATGGCAGGCTTTCAATAAATGCTCGCCAATGAATGGATGAAAGACGTTAGGCTGTCCAGCTAGTCTGCAGCTACTCTGCAGCCTTTCTGACACAAAGATCCTTTTCAGACCCAAGGCCTCTGGACTCCACTGACTTCCTGCCACTCGGGCACTCTCTCCTGAGTATCCTTTCTCCCTTCCAATCCCCACCCCAGGTACCTGCTATGGCACCAACTGTTTTACAGCCATTGAGGGCTGACTCCTGGCCACTCACCTGAAAGTCCTCCTCGTCCAAGATCTCCTTCCTCCACTTGATCAAGAAGGCCGCACACACATAGAGATGAAAGTGGGAGAACCCTTCTGGTTCAGACTGGGAAGGAAAACAGAGACAGTCCTGACAAGGAGCCAGCTGTGGTCCTCTTAGTTCCAACCCTTCTGGAAGCTGCAGAAGCAGCAGGACATCACTTGCAGGGCAGGGCACCTAGAGGCTGAGAAGACTTAGCAAGGGCCCTGCTCTTGAGGCCAAGGCAGACACAGAGGTAGGAGGTGATGGGAATTTCTGGGCACTCCTCACAGGGCAGGGAGCTGGGCACCTAAGGGACTGCCTGGCACAGAGCGGCAGGGGTCTCTTCATACCTGGTACGTGTCCCACAAGCGGATGGTGCAGCGAAGAGGAAGCTCCCGCATGAGCAGATTATTCATCCACCGAAAGGCAAACTGTAGGTATTCAACCTCGTACCTCCTGAAGTGATTATGCACCTGCTCTGAAACAGGAAGCATCGTGGGCCCTGAAAGCTCTCAGGAGCCCCAAAGGCAGATTCCATTTTTTATCACCCCTCCCTCGGGGAGCCAGACACAGGGGGGCAAACAGGCATCAGACGGCTCTTTGCATTTTGATTCTATCTGATTCTCATAGCAACTGTAGCTCAGGGAGCCCAGCACGTGGAACTAGCCTGACATCCCAAAGTGATGCTCTCGGTGCCCTCTGCCTGCACGGGGCCGCTCTGGCCACAGAACAGGAGACATACGGTTCACTTGGCTGCTGAATCTTATTACTCATCAGAGAAGGAGCCAGAATGGAAAAGAACCTTGGAGGTCACCTTGGCCATTCTCCCAACAGTGAGGAATTCCTCCTCAGCATCCCTGACAGATGGCTAGCCAGCAGGGACTGTGCCACTGCCAGTGAAAGGGGCTCACTGACCCACCAAGGGCAGCTTCTTCCACTGATTTACCGAGTGATTTATCAGAAGGCACTTTACCAACTTCAACAGAATCTAGCCACCTACTAACTCCCAGCCCTTGGGATCAATGTGGTATTCTGACACAAGTCAAAACAAACCGGGTTTCCATTCTACGTGACATCTCTTCAAATAATGCTTACTAGGAGTGTTTTGGTTTGATTGTTTTTTGCATTTCTGGGAATGGAATCAAGGGCCTTGAGGATGCTAGGCAAGTGCTCTACCACTGAACTACAGCCCTAGCTCCTAATATCTTTTTTTTTTAAACTTTGAGACAGGGTCTCACAAGTTGCCCAGGCTGGCTCGCAACTTACGATCCTCCTGCCTCAACCTCCTGAGTAGCCCGAATTATAGGCATAGCCACCAAGTCTGGCTCCTGATACAGTTCTTGAAAGAACTATTAACCATGCTTACTTCAGGGGAATAGAATTTAAGGAAGAAGATAGATTTCTAATTACTACATGTTTTTCTGCATTGTTTAAACTTCTGTAATGAGGAAGTAATACTTCTAAAATGCAAAGAAACGAGATATATACATTTAAAAGCTACTATCTTAGAGTGCCAGGCCTTAATTCATCAGGTAATTATAAGGGCAGGGAAAAAAAAAAGTGGCCAGTGGCAGAAAGCACGGCCTCTGCCCTCTGGAACTGCTCAGCCTCTGGCAGCCAGCGTAGCAACCCAGGAAAAGGCAGCACATGTCCCATGCTAAGCTCTGGAAGAGCGATGCCAGACACTGCCAGTTGGGCCCCAGCATGGGTGCCAACAGCTGGGTTAGGTGATAAGACACAGGAAAACATTCCACTGCACTGTGCAGGAGAAATGGTGAGTAAACAAATAAGGCCAGGAGACTAAAACTCTAAGTCATAACGAAGAGAAGAGTGAGTAGAACCAATCAGGAAGGTTTTCTTTTTAAATATTTTTTTTTAGTTGTCAATGGACTTTTATTTTATTTGTTTTTATGCGATGCTGAGGATTGAACCCAGTGCCTCAAAAACCCCAGGCCAAAAGGGTCCCAGAGAGCTCTAGCAAGTCCTGCCTGCTGGGTTCTCAAAGAGACCTGAGGATCCAGCATCAAGCCTAGGAGTTCCAAGTTACATCACTGCAGAAAGTGTGTATGGCAGCTTAAAAGGCTTAAAGCTAACAGTAATGGGAAGCCACAGGAGGATCCTGAGTAGAAGAGGAGGCGCTGGAACAGTACTTTAGAAGAATGCAAATAGGTGATAGATGGTTTGAAAAAAAGAGTATGGAGGAGGCAAGTCCTTCTAGAAGGAAACTGTAGAAATCTGGGAAAGCTGGACCAGAGATGTGCCTAGGAAATACAGAAGAGGTAGACAGAACAGAGTTGCTGAAGGAGAACCGACAGAACTGAGATAGAAAACGAAGAGGAAAGAAAAACTTGAGATACCTGCAGAGGCCTCCCCTTACCTTCCTGCTGAGACGTGGGAGGGTGCTGGTGCTGACGACAGCAGTGAGCTACGGGGAAGGGCTAGGAAGGGAGCTGAGGGACCAAGGATTCTGGCTTGTGTCAGAATCATACGGGCTACTGCTAGAGAATTCCTGTTCCTTTGGACCTACCATCAATCCGGCTGACGAGCTCTTCCAGTGCCTTGACTTTCTTCTGGATCCCTGGTTGTGCAAAGGTATAGTTATCCTGCAGACGATACAGAGCCCAGGATGAACAGGGACCCCAAACAGTGGTGCCCCTGCCCCTCAAGTTCACTGAAACTCGTTAAAAAGTACAAGTTATTGTGTGAGGAATGGCCTGTTCAGTGTTGTAATGCTGTTGCTGATGGCTGATCACAGTGTTTCGGGGAACAAAGAATTGCCAGAACAGTGTAGTATGAGTAATGCCTGATGAAGTCCTGCTGGGTGTGAGCACAGCCACAGGGCGCTGTGTGTGTGTGGCAGAATGGAGGGGCCTACTCTGAGGACAGAATCCGTGCACCACACAGATTTTCTCAGACTCCCAGGGACACTAGACAGATGCAAAGCTAACAGAAAGAGATAAAGGAGGAACCACGGTGGGCAGGTAGCCCTGTCTGATACTGAAGAGCAACAAGGGCACTGAAGGCCTGAAGGAGCCTCTGGACCTAGCTGTCCTCACAGAGGAAGAACCAGCTCACCTGGATCCCATCCAGCAGCTTGCTCATGCACCAAAAGCTGTCAGCTTCAATGCTTCGCAGCATGTCCTGAGACAAATTGGTCACGTCAAAGTTCTCCACATCCTCTTCTGTAAAACAAAAGGTGAAGAAAGTCCAGAGGTCTTTTCTAAAAACGAAGAAAGAAAGAGTCTAGTGTCTTCAACAGGGTCCTTCTGACCAGGGGAGAACCAGGCTAACCTGATGTCAAGGAACTGCACCTCGCCTCCCCTTGTCGGGGGGACAAATGGATCCCAGGGAAGTTCCTGAGGGTTTCATTACAATACTGAATAGGCCATTTCTCACACCAATCCCACTGGGATCAACAACTCTTTCTCCTCCTCTGCACTTGTTCATTCAGCTTTAGAAAGTGATAATTCAGGTCTCCTGTTCAATGAGCTATACCCAGCTCACTGGAGACAGTCTGGAAAATTCTTTGATGTCAAAAATTCTGTGAGCTGTCTTTGCACACTCTCACTCACAATTACACGTAGCAAAAATAGCTGGGATCAGATAGCCCACACAATGCATTTTGAGGATGGAATCCCTGAATGCTGATAAGGCAGATCAGCTCATGCGCATGTATGTGTGCATGCGTGCGCGCGCGCACACACATATACATTCTCTCTCTCCTTTTTATTTTTGGCAGTACTGGGGATTGAGCCCAGGGCCTTGAGCTTGTGTAAATGTTCACCACTAAGCTACACCCTGACCCTGAACCTATGGTCCTGTCACTGAGAAGTGAAGGTATGTGCCTGAGGGAGGGTGGACCCAGACTGTGAGTGCTTCTAGGATTTAATTCCACCAAGTTGGTATTCCCCAAGAGGGGTTCTGTAAAACATCAATTCTATAGGATACTTAAGAAAAAAGGAGTTACATAGACAAAAGCAGTTGAGAAACACTGCATTAAACATCTTGGAGATTTATTTATTAATTTATTTTAAGATATTTTTATTAGTTATTGATGGACTTTATTTATTTATTGTTTATATGTGGTGCTGAGAATCAAACCCAGGGCCTCACACATGCCAGGGAAGTGCTCTACCACTGAGCCACAAGCCCAGCCCAAAATATCTTGGGGGTTCCTCAAGATCACAGCATATATTCTGACCAGGGAAGAACCAGGCTAACTTGATGTCAAGGAACTTGCCCCTCACCTCCCCTTGTCAGAGGAACAAATGGATCCCAGGGAAGTTTCCGAGGATCTCATTACAACACAAATGGGCCATTTCTCACACCAATCCCATTGGGATCAACAACTCTTTCTCCTGAGGATTTGAGAAGTTATATGAAAGTCTGCACTAAGTTAACTTGCTTAACTTTGTTTATCCAGCATTTCCCAAGTCTATTTAATCATGGGACCTCTCTAGATAGGATCATCTATCAGCTTCTCACAGGAACCCCACAGTAAGCAATAGGGATTGAGAAGCTGTCTGGTCTGAGAATCAAGTGAGGAAGATGTAAGACACCCTCAAGAAACCTGAAGAAACCGGGCATGGTGGTACAGCTTGTCTTCCAAAGACTCAGGAGGCTGAGGCAGAAGGATCTCAAGTTCAAGACCAGCCTCAGCAACTTAGTGATACTCTGTCTCACAAAGTAAAAAAATAAAAAGGGCTAGAGATATAGCTCAGTGGTAGAAAGCCCCTGGGTTCAATCCCCAGTAATGCAAATAAACAAACCAAAAAGAAAGAAAGAAAAGAATAAAATAAACCTGAAGAAGGAAAGGCCTTGGGATATTTCCTTCTGGCCCCTGTTCAACTCTCCCTTCCTGCCACAAAGAGGTGTAGTAGTAAGAAACGTTCTCCTTGTCCAATAAGGCAGGTTACTGCACGCCTGTCAGAGGCCACACATGGGAATGTTCAGGCCCTTGAATTCCGCACCAAAGGGAGCTTTTCCCTTAGGCCCACAGGTCCTATTTTGAAAACAGGATGTTCACGGCAGACACTTGTGCTACACAGAGACATTGCAACTGACAAAATGTATCCAGAATCCTGCCCTTTTACATTATGGGAATGATTACTAGAGCTGAACCTTCTCATGACAACATATAGATGTAACAACTCTGAGATTCTCACTCTGCTTAAAGAACATGAAGGTGATTAACAACAATAACAACAATAAAATAAATAAATAAATAACCTTTGGAGAGAGTGAGGGTTTCTTGTTAGAAAAATTACGACCCTGGGAATGACCGAAAGGTCCGGCTTGAAGTCTGGCCACAGCCGATACATAAATGTATAAAGTGCTAACCACAGTATCTGGCACACAACAGACACTCAGAGTTATTTTTGATGAAGTTTAAAAGGAATGTATAATGACACAGGAAAGTATGTCACAGTATCAAAGGAAAAAGTAAGGAACAGAATTATTTATGGTAGACTTTCAACTACTGTATATACATTATTTATGTGTGTTTATATAAGCACAGAGGAAAGACAAAACGTATTACAAGGTTTACAGTGCTTAGTCCCCAGGTGGTATAAATGAAGTATTTTATTGTCTTTGAGCTTTACTAGACTTTTCAAAATTTCCACAATAAGCTAATTTTTGATAGTCCCCCCCAAATGCATTATTTCAGAAAAAAAGAGCCACAATTGAGTACACTTGCCTTTTATTACCAAAAAAAGAATAAATAAGATTTTATAAACAACACTAAGCTTACAGAAACTAAGAATTTAGAGAATGTATAAGAGTCCATTTGAGGAACCCCATTAAAAAACAAAACATAATCCTTCCAAGAAATACCATTTGCCTTTTTGTCCTAACTTCAACATTTACTATGTAGTGTTTTGGGGGGTGGCCATATATAGTATTAACTTAGGTAAATGACACTGAGCCTTAAGATCCAGCTCAGAATCTTCCTTTTTCTTTTTGTTTCATATTAAGATCTTTCCAGGTTGCTGGACATATCTCTAGCTCATTTCTGCACCCTTTCTCTATCCATTTCTGCAGGGATTGCCTCCAACTCTCATGACTACAATGTCCTAAGGAATTGTCCTCTTTGAGCCTGTACAAGAACAGCTCTGGGTTGGACTTAGGCAGATCATTCTCTGGACCAGTCTCTCAACAGTGCAGGAGGAAGGAGTAGCCCTTCCTTACAGTGAGCATGGGACTCACACTAACCCAGGCTGGGCAGTAGCTCCCTCATCATGAGAATGGGGGGTACAAGAAAAAGGTAAAACCCACAAGGAAGGTTCCAGATTAAAAAAACAAAAAAACAAAAAAACCCTCAACTCCTCGGATATACATTTCCCAGAGGAAGATCCAGAGGTCCATAATATTGGAAGGATCTTCCCCAACCTGGGCATTCCAGGATTCCAGAATGCTGCGGTGGAAATGCAAGTGGAGCCACAGAGGAGAAAGAGCCTGGGGAGCACAGGGGGAGCAGGGCTGTCCCCATAGCCTGTGGTTTTTATTGTCGGACAGAATAGCACCTGGGTGAGGGCACACTCTGAAGCCAGACTGCAGAACTCAAATTCTAGCTCTGTCACCCACAGCTACATGACTTTGGGCAAATTTCCTTTCGAGTCTCAAGTCGTCATCTGTTAAGGTGGTAATATCAGTACCAGTGGCAGAGGATATTTAAGGATTTAAAAAGTTAATTAATATATGGAAAATGCTGACAATAGTGTCTGGGATAAAAAATGCATTATGTAAATGTTAGCAGGCATTATATTATTGTTATTATACAAGATACAAATACATTGACATTTGAGATATAGACTATTATTTGCCACCAAATCTAATCTTCAACAATAAACCCACCCTCCCAAATTGTACCTTAAAATTGGTCAATTTTCAAAGCTTTCCACTTCTACCTTTTGGTCTTAAGGAAGAAATGCAGGCTGGGAATGTAGCTCATTGGTAGAGGGCTTACCTAACACATATGAGGCCCTGGGTTCAATCTCTCTCTCTCTCACACACACACACACACACACACACACACACACACACACACACAGAGCTAATAAAATCTAAATCTTAAAAGAAAAAAAAGACGAAATCCAGGCTAGTTACATATGGTCACAGTTGGTCAGATGCCACTCTCGTTAAGGGCACCAATTCCAAACCTTCAGCTGTGCAGGGAGCTGAGGGACCAACAGGCAAGGTGCTGGAGTATTACTCTGGGGCCTCGAGCTGGGGGCTCATCTGCCCAGCAGCCCTCTGCTCTCACGGACAGGGAGGGGGAGTTCTCTTTTTCTGCCTGCTGGGAGGTTAAGATTCACTCATTCAGTCAAAAACTGTGAGCTGAGTGCACCAGCAAGAAGCAGCCGAGAACAGGAGGAGCAAATGCTCTCTGAAGGGCTTCATTCAGCATAAACAATCTGTTCAGAAGGATCATTAAGCGTCCACTTGAGGAAATTCAACACATAATTGAAGCTGAAATGGGAAACCATGCCAGCCGTGCAGTCTCCAGTGAGGGCAGCGTCTCTGGTTGTCATGACAAGTATACGGCAGCCAGGACTCAGGCTGAGGGACTGAGATTTTTAAGGATATTTTATGGCTATTTTAAGAGGCAAAGCATCCAAAAGGAGGAAATCCAAAAGCTCTTTATAAAAATCAAATTGCCCACTCTGGGCTTGACGAGAACATGCCTATTTATTAGCTGATAAAAGGCAGCTGAGTGGTGGCTCCAGTCAACTGTTTATTTTTCCTGAGGACTCTGAGTCCTGGGCCTGAAGTCACTTAATATATGCCTCACAAACTCCCTGACAGCTTTGGGAAGAACAGGTTTGGCCCAAACTGACAAGAGTAACGCCTATTCACTGCTTCAAGCACTTTCTAGGATCCATCTGAGATCCCAGGGCCATTTTCAGATCTGTGTACCAGTGACTCTGCCTCACTGGCAGCTGCAGGTGGCCTTTGTTTTCCAAAGCCTCGGATTTACCTGACCTGTGTCGTCATCTTCTTTTTTTTGCTTTAAATAAAAACTGGACTTCTAAGACTACCTTGCATAATATTTTCTAATCACAGAAGGAGACTGAGGAAAACAACAATTAAAATCTTTTTTGGCCATGTGTCTAAAGAACCTCATAAAACAGAAACTTAAACATTTTTTAAAATTTTTATTTACTTATTTTTAGTTGAAGTT